ACCTAGTCTAGATATGAACCTCACGACGACACGCCATTTCTTTAAATTAAATTAACTGCTGCTATATGTATGTATGTACATATGTATGTTTATACAAAACGTAAGCAAACAACATTTTGCTCGCATAGTCTTCTGTTCTCTTTCATTGCAAGTTGAATTATTTTAATATCTATTGCAAAATTTTGTACATAAAATAAAATAAAACTATTTAATATACAACGCTTTTATAAATGGACTAAAAATTAGAAAATAAAGTAATGTAAAAAAAATATTTTTTTAAAAATAAGCTTTTATTTAACATGTTTAATCAAAGGAGTAAAATAAAGTAGTGAAACAAAAGATTTTTTAGCAAGAAGATTTTGTCAAAACTGCACTAAAATGAATAAAATAAAATAAGTTATGGTCTCGTTAAAGTTACTAAAAGCCATTTAGTGAAAGGAGTTATTCAAACTCTAATGAAAATTACTAACAATTTGTACTACTTTACTTCGTTTTTAAAAAAGCTTGTCGGCGAATTCAGCGTACATGCATAATTGGTTAGGTATGTATGTATGTATTTATATGTATGTATGCAGATATTTAAATGCCGGTTTGCTCTTCGCGCGACAAGCTTTTTTAAAAACGAAGTAAATTAGTTCAAATTGTTAGTAATTTTCATTAGAGTTTGAATAACTCCTTTCACTAAATGGCTTTTAGTAACTTTAACGAGACTTTAACTTATTTTATTTTATTCATTTTAGTGCAGTTTTGACAAAATTTTCTTCCTAAAAAATCGTTTGTTTCACTACTTTATTTTATTCCTTTGATTAAACATGTTAAATAAAAGCTTATTTTAAAAAAAATATTTTTTTTACATTACTTTTTTCAAATTATTGTTGCTTTTCCACAATAAATTTTCATTAAAAAAACGGCCACGAGCTCAATAAAAATTGTTGAATATAATTGTTATAAGGCCAAAAAATAACAAAAACCAATAACTTAAGTATGAGCACACCTAAAAGTTAAACATTCTAAAAATAGAATTATTAGCAAAAACCAACAATACCAACAACCACATGATCAAGTGAATTGCAGCGGAATAGCTGTGCTTGATTGTATTGGCATAACAAAAATGAAAATAGTGGAAAAAAGCAAACGATAATTTACAAGGCGTACTTATCACGGTGCATAGGCAAATGGCTGAGTCAGTGGGATCGTCGGTTCGAAGCCTACTGAAAGAAGTCTGATGAGGATATGTGGTGATTTCCGAAATAGCTATCACTACTACAA